TTTTTTTTTTTTAATTTTAAAATGTGCCATGGGCTTCCTGTAAAGTAACGCGACATCAGCTAGAACAATTGGGGTATATCAATTTTGGAGAAAATCGGCTGAACGGTTTATGCGCTAAGGGCATAGACGGACGGATAGACGGACACACAGACAGGCAGACGGTCGGACGGACAAATGTTTTGCTGTCAATCGAGTTTTCGGTATCAAGGACCCATACAACATGGATTCTGGCTACACAACGTGTTGTAGAGGAATTTTTTTCGTATATTTACTAACTGGATTTATCCAATTTTTTCTTGCCAGGGCCAGGCAACAAGAGATTTTATGTCGAAAATTCGCCGTTTTTCGGCGCACGACTTCAAGTACTTTCTCTTCTTACGACGGTAATGGCAAAGAACATCCATTTTGGAAACAATTCAACGTATGGTTTAGGTGCTAGTGTCCACAGGCGGATGCACAGACGGATAGGCCGACGGACAGACTGTCAAAAAATATACAATTATTGTAATTTGTTCTGAATAATAAGGCGATACAAAGCTAACTTGTATACGTAAGCTTCCGCGGATGGAATCCATGAATTCTCGGCTATCCGGGAGACGCCGCGTCGTTGGCTGGGGTGCCGACGTTTCGCCTGACATGTCGCAGGCTTCCTCAGTTCGTCACTGCCCTGAGGAAGCTTGCGACATGTCAGGCAAAACGTCGACACCCCAGCCAACGACGCGGCGTCTCCCGGATAGCCCAGAATTCGCAAAGCTAACTTATTCGCAACATACTGTCTTGTTTTCAGGTTTGCGACTATTCTAGGTCACTAACTGCTTGATCCTGGCCATTCTGTGGGTTCTTGACGATTGAACAGTATGCAGATGATGATCATTCGTTCAGATCTAATTTTTGTTGAACACACTGATTTCTCGAAAATTGCAAAATTGCAAAATTTGTTCGGAATCTTACAATTCGTACAATCGCACAATTCTGAAAATACAATTTTTTTCTTAATCAAATTGCAGTTTATATTAAGCACTTGTTTACGACAAATTTTGACGTAGAGTATGCATTGTTATGACTAATGGTTTAGGAGGTACGTTGTTTTGCACAGGAGGTTCCTCAGAGGGACATTCTGGAATTCGAATCCGAGTAACTAAAGGTTTGGCGACACTTTTTATATTGGTCTAACTAACCGGTCCGCCGCAAATTTTTTTGTTACAGTTTGTATTTAATACGTGTTTGCGTATAATTTTGGTATATTGCAAGAATTGTTTTGGCTGATGGTTTAGGAGGTACGGTTTTCATAACTTGCGCAAGGCGTTCCTTAAAGGGACGAACCTGCGTAATTGAAATTAACCGGTCCGCGGCAAACTTTTATATTACAGATTATATTAATCACTTAATTACTGAAAATTTTGGCGTAGAGTATGAAATGTTATGGCTGATGGTTTAGGAGGAACTGCCTTCTTAACTTCCTCAAAACTCTCATAAGAGAGCAAAATCTGGTATTCGAACTCGGTTATTTGAAGCTAACAGCTCCACGGCATTTTTTTTTCTCTTCTTACGGATTGTATTTAGTTCTTGTTTGCGTCAAATTCTGGTGAAGAGTATGAATTGTATGGCTGCTAATTTAGGAGGTATGGTCTATTTTACTTGTGCTGGACGTTCTTTAGAACATTCTGGGATTCGAACCCGCGTCGTTGAAACTAACCGGTCCGCGAATTCTTTTTATTGAAGTTTATATTAAGCACTTAATTACTGAAAATTTTGGCGTAGAGTATGAAATGTTATGGCGGATGGTTTAGGAGGAACGGGCTTCTTAACTTTCGGAGAGGTCTTATAAGATAATAATAATAATAATAATAATAATAATAATAATAATAATAATAATAATAATAATAATAATAAATAAATAGCACTGGTTTATAGCAAATTTAAGCGTAGATTATGAATTTTTACGGCAGATGAATTACAGGGGACGTCTCGTTTCTTCTTCGGCGGCGCTTGCAAGAGGAGCGTAGCTTTTATATTCTGTTTTTTTTGTTAATATATTTTGAAAGAATGTAGATGTGAGATTTATTTCTTCACTATTCGTTTATAAATAAAAAGCGGCAAATTTGGAGTACATTTTTGTGTATATACTTGCATTATTAGCGGATTTAGAGGTATGGCCCTGCTAACTTCCATCACTTCCATTGGAAGTTAGCATGAACACCGTTTTTAAAGAAAATGTCTAGCGACAAATTTTTCCCCCACATCATAAGAACAGCAAAAAAGTGGCAAATTATGGGCTATGCAGTTTTGTGATTGGTTGAAACGGTCCTGCTAACTTTCAGGACGTCCCTCATCTCATGTAAGTCTAGGTCTTCCTCTTTGTTGATGGGTAGCTGATTGCCATTTCCACAATATTTCCGGGCAACGTTTTTCATTCATTTTTTCATGTGTTCATATTACTGTTGTTATTGCAAGTAGTAGCAGTAAAATGACAATACCAAGTAAATTTTACTTTTACTTTAAAAATGAAACAGTACAAATCCTGAAATGTTAAATTATTTTGATATTAAAAATAATTATCTACTATATTTAACAAGTAAGTATCTACTATATATAACAAGTAATAAATATTTATCTATTTGTAACAAGTATTGTAGTGTAATTCCTAGGCCAAGGACCCCATCTCTATCTTTTTTCCCCCTGGTCCCTTGAACAAATGCTGAGATGGCTCTTTGTTTTGTTTCTGGACAGAAATGTAACTTCATTCTCTCCATCCAAGACACCAATTGACTCGTCGTACATGATTATAATTGCATATGTGACTCAATAAAATATTATTGTATAATAAACAATATATAATTGACATGGAAAATTCTATGAGACTAAATCCTTCTGGAAGGATGTGAATAATAAGAGAGGAATAACAGGATTACCAAATATAAAACTTGATGAGACGGTTGAAAATTCATGCCAAAGTGTTGTAGACCTTTTTGCAGAATATTTTGAATCTGTGTATGTTACTCATAATATAAAAGATACATTTCATGTTGATGAATACGAAAAAAGGAGCTGGACCTGATGGAATACCGCCTTTTATAAAACATTGTACTGTTAACCAGACACCAGTAGTACATTTTCTATTTAAAAAGTCCCAAAATACCCATCATTTGGAAAGCTAGTTTTATTACAGATATGGGAATCACACTATGTGTCAAAACAAATGTTATTTACAATATGCAAACTACAAGCATATTCAATATTATATATTGAAATACTGAAATTGGGCGATTGCTTGTTATATAAAAAATAAATGAATAAAAAAATGCATCATGATGTGTCAAAATTTAACGACCTGTTGAATTTTGCAATTTTCGATATGTTCCAGATTCTTCTCAAAACCATTTCTAGTACAATATTTTTTGCTAATCCATTGGTGCTGAGCATGTTCTTGTATCATATCTTCAATGGAAGAAAAACACATTTATTATTTATGAAGTGATAACAGTCTTTTTTTTATTAATTTATTTTTATTTTATAGAAATGACAATGTGGTGAAATGAAAATACCAATTTACCGACGTTAAAAAAGATTGGTAGAAATGTGATTTTTTTGCAGCAATGACAGAGTGGAGAACAGAAAACAACAGACTTACAGAAGATAAAAAAAACATGGACCTGAACCCCACTGTTCTTTGGTTGGGTGGTGTTATTTTTGGTTGGGTTGGGTATATTTAATATCTATACCTGTAGAAAATGTATATTATACCTTATTTATATATTATGCCTGTAGACAATATATATTACATCTGCATTTATACCTTAATACTTATCCCTGTAGAAGAAGGACAAATAAAACAAGTAAATGTAGTAATTTTTTTATTATAAAAGTAAAAGAATTTACATAATTATGTTGCAGATACTATGAAACACAAAGCTAGGACACATATCACAAATATTTTACATTACTATTCACATGTAACATTACAGAAATATGGGCATTATAATCTACCCAGTTTACATCTTTGCTGTATTCAACTTCCATAGCAGCTTTATCAGGGTAATTCATGAAGATGTAACACATAATTCATTAATTAACGAACCAGTTACCTTCAAGACAAGATGAAAATTAAAAAGAAAAAAAAAAATCACTTGCTCAACAGCTACCTATTCCCTGAGTGACTGTCTTCCTGTAGGTGCGCTGATGGCTTTCCTACAAAATGTTGGCTAAAGATGAATTCACTTTTTAAGAATATAATATATTTTGTTGATTGATCAAGAAATGCTGTTTTGCTGACTAATCATTGATTGTTTTGTATCCAAAAGTACTCCGTTCTTGTAACATACACTTGTCATTCTCAATCTGTCTTGTTGAATGTCAAAATGCATTTCTAATTTCAATACGCTCAGGAAAATATGCAGAAAACTATAAAATATTTTTACTCTCCTAAATCAGATAGTGTGAGGTTGTGTAAAATTTGTTTGCATATAATGTTTTTGATAATTTGTTAAAAGCACATTGGAGTACTGTAACAGTGACAAAACGCACAACAATAACAAACTCTAATAATTTAAAGACAACAGTAATTTCCTTTAGCTACATATTACAGAATTTTCTTTTCATTAACTTCACTCGTGGAGTGACACTTGCACCATAAGACATTACAATTACTCATAGTTACAGTCAACTACACAGGATGTATAAGCTGCCTCTGTTCTTTAGTTTTATGTTCAACATTTAATATGTACTTTCAAATAAACTTATGAACAAAAATAACATACATATATTTCAAATAGATATTTCAATTTCTGCTGTTCTATTCTGCAACAAACATGTTGCATGCACATAACAAATGTAATTGCTCTTTGGCATACAGCTAAACTACTATTACTTGTTAGAACCAATATTTAGGCAAAGAAATTGCAATAATTAAAATGAATCTATAATGCCCAAATGTGCAGTTTCCCTCTCAGTAACTTGCAATATCAATATTCATTTATACTGCTTTGAAATGGGTGGAACATAACTTTAGAATTAAATGCTTTTTACCTGATACTAAGAAGGCATTCACTACAAATGTCTCATATATCAGTATTTATTTGATTCATTCATAAAGTGATCCTAAATCAAGAAGTGACACTTACATAAAGCACATTAAAGAAAGGAAAAATAATTCCCCAAAGGTTGGGCAACAATTATGCAATGAACACTTGTATGATTTCACAATACAAAAAACATTTTAACATTGTCTAATAAACCACTCACTGTCAAATTCATGCAATAGTTTTACTATTGGTACATAGTTTACATTTATACATGAAAATATGTACATTTACTATGATTTGAGAGAATCCTCATGTTCACAATTGCTTCTTTCATTAAGCAATCAAACAATATTGTGTTACTGAAAAACACCAATTTACTTGTATAATACATCTCATCAATATTTCCTGTGCCTTGACATCAAAGAAAATTCCAATAATGTACAAGAATACTGTATGGCACATTGAGTTTTCTACTTTCATATTTGTTCTATAAGCTTATATTAATGAGTATTTGAGGAAAGGTTTTAGGCTCAACTAAATCTAAATACCTAAGGAAGCAAGGCATATAAAAGGAACACAGACCACACACTTCCTGATGAATAAGAAAACGAGTTCCAGAATTCTTTCCTCAAATCTTTCTTTGAACACATACATTTTCCACCATATATGCACTGTTATATGAAAGGATATTGGAACAACTCAAGTAAAAGAAATATAAAAATGAAAAGATAAAATAGGTGATGAAAATTCAAGCTTTCGAAGATGAAAAATCATCAAAATTTAAAAAATGACAAATTAAATTAAAGGATAAAGTATTACCTAAAAACACATAACACTAACTATTGAGGTATCAAAATGAAAAATGACCAGTTATCTTACAAAGTACAATTTTCATATGCTTAACATTGATGACTAATTTGAACTTAATTCACAGAAAAAAAAATACGACAGTGATCATGATTATAATGAAAAGTAGAAATACAAATTTTCTAAAAAGTAACTTCATTGTACTTTAACTCATTAAGCATCTGACAACATATCCTCTGCATTTCTTAAAAGACTGAAGCACGTAATAAATTATAGGACAAAACTAGGAAGACTGTTCTCATTTCTTCTCTGTTACCTAATCTGTCAATTCACCACTATCTTGGAGCACTACTGTTCAGAACACACTGTCAACATGGAATGTACTTGTAAATGAATCAAGCAGCACTAAAACAGTAAACCACTTAAGGAAATAAATACTCCTTTCCTCAATGACACATTTTGTTGTATATCTTCAAAAGTCTGCAGTGACACACTCTTCTAAGCTACATATCACTTGGATGACGGATTTGTTGATGGACCAACCGGAGTTATGGAAGTTGATCCATCACGTGGTAAGCCCAAAAAGTTTGCTGCTCCTTGAGCAAGACGCACGTTAGTATGGTGCTGACTCATCAGTTCTTTGTACAACTGGATCTGTTCTGCAGATGGTGGAAATAACGGTGGAGTAACAAGGGGAGAGACAAATCCTGGAGTCAGAGATGGAGGGTACAAACCATGTGATGTATACAGGGAAGAATAATACAATGGATCAGAAAGAGCCAGAAAAGGATTGCTGTTCTTTCCTCCATTATTTGCTGCGGAAACAGGTGGAAGAAAGCCAGGAAACAAAGATGTACTTCCAGGCAGAAAAGATGGTATCATACCACTAGGAGATGATGTAGGTACAGTTGACTGACTCTGTGAAACTCTTGTTCGAGCAGATGGTGTGCTTCTTCCACAAGCTGATGAAAGATATGGGTTTGGAATTATCAACGATGTGCCACCTGAGGAGTTGCTTGTGCTTCGATGTAATGTTGCAGATTGTGACTGACTGTTCATCGACATAAATTTTCCGTTCTCATTTCTGGGAGGCAACCGATGCGATGTTTTGTTTGTCGTTTTACGACTTGGAGGTTGATGAGGTTTCTGTGGCAATGGTGGATTCACTTTCACCTGATTAGTTGATGCTTTCGGAACATCAACAACAGTTATTTCAAGATTTGAACCTACTATTGCTCTACCTGCTAAAAGGGGAAACGCAGAGTTGTTAGTTTTGTTAACAGTTTTTGACAAGTTCCTTGGAGAATCCACAGATGCTGCTGCAATGGGATGCACACGATTAACACTCAATGTAGATTTCTGTGGACTTTTCACTCGCAAGTCAAGCACCTCCTCTTCTGTATGAGGCACCATACGTCCAGGTACTCTTTCTGAATACAGCAGCTGACGAGGATCAAAAATATCCTTGGGATTTCCATAGACAGTGGACTCAGAATGAGTATAAATGGAGCGGGACTGTACAACTTTTGGTGGAAATCTACGACTCCATGCGCCAGCTGGAGCATCTTGTGGAAGGTTCTGATTGTGCATTTTGTTTTTCAAGTCTTGAACATTTATTACGTTTGAATGATTTGTGGAAGTGTCAAATGGTGAAATTGGAGAAGGAGTTGATGCAACTTCACCACGAGGAGAGCCTAATATATGACCCACATCAGGTGTGACAGTTATTGACACCTGATTGTTGTCGGAAGGTGGTGCTGTGACTGGAGCGGCATGTTGAATAACTGAAGGTCGCTTCTCAACAACAGGAGTCACTGAGGTTTCAGATCCCAAAGAAGAAATAGCAGTCACTTCCAAACCACCTTCCTTCAGAATTTCCAGCTTGCGTTTCTTGAATGCTGGGACAGGTGACTTCCCAATCTTCACCTGTGATTCCTCAGAGGCAAGGTCAATGACTTCAGGCACGACTTTAGGATCATCATTCTCAGCAGATACTTCTGCAGTTGGAGTACTGCTTGCTTCACCATTAGTGATACAATTGGTAGTACCACTGGTCTTAGTGAGTGAACCATTCACCAACCCACTGGTTGAATTCCCATTTGCTGATGCATTAGCTACACTACTGGGAGAATTAACTTGTGGCAAGCTGTTAGAAACAGGAATATTCTCCTTGTCTGAAGGTATATTATCTTCTACCTTTTCCAGTTTGGGCCTAATGCTGCGCAAGGCAGCAGTTTTACTTTCTCCAGAAGAACTTTTCTCTTTAGAAGACTCATTCTCTGCACCCTGTAAACAGATCATTCACAAAATTACAACACAAGAATATCAATATTTAACACAATTATTTGAAATAATTTCTGATCTCCTAGAAAATAGTCAAAATGGGATTGAAAACATAATCAGATCAAAAATTGATGACAGGATTTGCACCTTTTCAGATGAAGTCTCAGTAGGTGAATCAACATCATCCTTTTCTTCATCTGACTTATCTTCGGATTTTACTGATTTAAGCTTTGTGTGATTTCGTACACCATCTTTTTGTTCTCCTCTTGTGCTTTTCTCATATGGTAACAGCAACCTAAAAAGAATCACATTACTGTCAATATCCTGTTGATAAATATCCATTCTCTCCACATGTATTTTAGAATAATAAAATTTTCCTTTTTCGAGAACACAGAAACAAAAAAGAGAATATTTAGTCATTGAGTTTATCAAATAATTTATTTATCCACCAGTTAACATCAAAACAAAATAAGCTTCTATGATACACTATACCTTTCATAATGACGCCTTGTGTATGTAGCTGCACTAGTACTTCCTTGATGACCTCCTAGTTCATCATAGATTGTTTTCCAAAGTCGATTTGCAGTTACACTATTATACCCTCCTAGTTTTTGAACTTTAGTGAAAAATGCGTAAAGGTCAACTGGAACAGACAAATCTGCATTTTCACACAATTTTTTATATTACTATGTAACAAGAGATTTTCCTTAAATCTAATTAATAAACATTAATTTTAAACAAATCAATCAAGTTATTAAAATAGCACATTAATTAATCTAATAATAACACAAGATATACATAAGAAAGAAAGAAAGGAAGAAAAAACTTATTTGCTGTGTTGTCTAAACAACCTTTAAAATTATAACTATGGGTGGTGCAAGAGAGAAACAAATTAGACCATTTTTGATATTTGATAATTAATTTAAATGTAACTGAAGCACGTCTTTTCATTAAACTGAATTTATTTTTGCATCTGCAGAGGCAAATGCATGCCTTTTTATTAGTAAAGTATCAATGCTTCTTGCGAAATTCTGAACTCCATCAACAAGTGTATTAAATAATGTGTCCCTGATAATGAAATTGTAGACTAAAGCAATCTTAAGAGCTTTAAATCATAGTTCTGCAGTGCATCTTCCACTACACCCTGTTGATTTGTTTCAATGAAGTAGGAAGCTTAAGCATACAACTACACTATAGTGCATTCATCTTCTAGTTAACCATCTGCTCTTTATCAATAAGAAATTACTGAGGACCTGAATGTATCACTCATTTTTTCAACACAGCAAGTTGTCATGTCAAGACCTGCTTTAATTTACACGTTATAAAGAAAACACAAGCTAAAATAGCAATTTACACAGAGGAAGTTCAAAATGTTTGAAAAGTAATGGGAAACAGAAGAAAAAGTGAAAGAGTTATAACAATTCTTCTACACATTAAAAATTATATTGAACTTACTTTCTTTAAAACCCAAATGAGGGACTCTAGAGATAGGTGTGCGTCGACTCTTCATAAAACTGTGAAGTTTCACTAGGAACTCTTTCTCATCAGGACCAACTTCACGTTCCACTTTCTTGCCTCTAGCGGGACTGTTCTGCTGAGCTATGCTGTTGCATCGTAAGCCATTTCTGCCTGGGATCTGTTGTTTACTCTACAACAATTAAAGAAAAATAAAAAATTATGAGAATGAACTGAACACAATAATTTCCTACAACACAACTACAAGGCATTTTATATTTTAGAAACTTATTGAAGTTTCAATACCTCTTTGAAGGGAGAACTAAGCAATATATAATTTCCATTCAAACTGGCAACAATTACATGCAATGCACAATAGTTTTCTGTAATAATTCCATGAGTTTTGAGAAAATTTAGTTTCTACATCCTGTTCATAAGAAAGACTTTTCTTAGAAAAGTCTTTCTTATGAACAAGATATCCATTTGGGGGTGGGAAACTACTGAAAGACTACACCATCAATAGTTGTTTTTTTCCAAAGTCGTACAAATTTAAAATTAACTACCTCTAAGAATGTTTTGTTTCAAAAATTGTTTATCATTGCCTCATTTTAGAATTGAAACTTTAAATTATGTATTCTACAGTACAATGTGTTTACGAAGTCTTCAGGGATATGATACTTTTGATACAAGATTTGATAAGAGAAAATGTCAACAACTATAACCAATATGAAAAAACATGTTTTGATTTGGATTAACATTTATTCTATTTATTACTGAATATATATAAAAGTAGTATCGATATTTTACACAATTCTTCATATATTATCACTTTTTGAATGTTCATTTTAGTTGACAGAACCATTGATGATGTCAGAACAATCAATGGCTTCCCACCCCAGGACCTTACCCTCAAGGACGATGATACTGTGGAGAGAGAAGACTCTGATTCATTTGACTCTGAACCTCCAGGAGATAGGCTGCGCTTTTTAGGGCGTTTCCGAGGGCGGCCTTTTAAGTTAGGAGCTGCAAGAAAAAAAACGCAAGCACTCATTATACACACAACACATTTTCTAAAGAAAAGTTACTCTATGATGTTACTGCCCAAGAAGCTCGATTTTACTTCATGAAAGAACAGGAAACTAAGAAGATAATTGATAACAGTTCCTCTAGAATGTCCATATAATTTTCACAGTTAAAAAGACATTTTTTTTCCAATTCGTACTTACAAAAATGGTACCAATCATCTTAAAACATAATAAGATAAGATTCATTGTTGATCAAGTTACCTAGTTTATTTCACAATAATAAAATGTAGTCAGCTAGCTGAACTTCCTTCACATCTTGATCGTAAATTCTTAGCAGCAACCTTACTTTACTAAAACAATCATTCTCTCATGATCACCAATGCTCATAATCTATCATAAATATTAGGAAATATATCCATATTTCATGTGATTTTTGTTATTATCAATATTACTTCTGCAATTGTTTAATCATGTTCCAAATATCTTTTCCACCATTAGTAAAAAAACTGAATATTTGAATAAAAGCTGCTTTGTTTTTCCTTGTAAGTTTTAATAATAAGTAGTAGTCAAAGTGCATTCAAGGGTACTTAATTGGCAGGGCAAGGATATTTCACCCAACAGTGTTGTATCGCAAAATATTTCACAATATTTCACATCAACTTCTACACGTTCCCTAATGTAACATACTCGACAAACAATTCCACTCCACGCACCGGGAGAAGAATGTATTTCAGCATATAATTTATAAAATGATAAAACTTCAACGAAAAGGGTTGTGACTTCTGAATTGCATATTCGTCGTTTTTATTCAGTTGAGGAGCAAACATTCAAAACGAGGCATGTCCACTTAACTCCTTTTTGCGAGAAAAACGCAAAAATGTTGTAGCATCAACATTACGCAAATATTTTATTTGTACTAAATTCTTAATTATGTAACATGGAAAGCTAAATATATTAATATAAAACTTAAATACTTTATGTTCATTTCAATTTTAAAGCTAGTTTCTTGACGTTTTGAATGAACACGAATGAACATGTCTTGCTTTAAATGAAAAATAAATACTTTTTATTGAAATTCATAAAATCATATGGGCGAAATTAATATTGTCTTTTGATTTACCAATGAATAAATTTGGACGTGTAAAGGAATAAATCAGAAATTTCTTGATGAACGATTTTAATTACTATTTACAAAAAACAAAAATAAGTGGAATATCATCTTCATCACAACCCTCAGATACTAAATCTTCGTTTCTTTGATCCTTTTCTTTATTTAAAAAGGAATCATACCATTCCAGTTCCTCTACATTACGCCATGCTTTGTCAAATTGTTTTTATAACAACTCGTTAACGTCATTTTTCTTCTCCTTTCAAATTCCATTACTAATGGTAGTTATTTCCCGAAACCCACTGATAAGCACTTCAATGGAAACTCGTTTTGCTAGTTTCAGCAAATTTACATGATACCAAGTTTACGTATCCATATTATAGTGTGTCATTGATTGCACTTTATCTAGCATTCCTTTCCTTACTAAGAACTTTGAAATACAAATCCTCATGCATTCACTGATGCCATGGACTTTTATGTATTTCTGGGAAAGTGCTTTCACATCAAATAATTTCCACTCGTTCCCGAATTACTTCACTTCACCCAGTTCCGGCGATATTTGTTACATTTTCAATACACATAACGCTTCTTTACTTCGAGTACTAGTTACTTCCTTTCTACTTTCTCAAATACTCTTATCTGCTGGTAAGAAACTGCGTCCCTTCACAGGAAAAACAATTCTCTCAACAGATTGAGAAGAATCTGTTTGTAACCAATCTATTAGGGTGTGGACGACGTGGCTATTATTTTGGCCAGAACAATCATAACAAAAAGTTATTACCAAGTTAAAGGTATAAAAAGTTATTTCAATTAATATCCTACAAGAAATATAACCTTACTAAATGTATTTCAAAACTGTACAATTGCAATTTGTATTCATATTAAATTTTGTATTGCCGCAACTTTGCATTATGAAATGAGAGATATTGAAAAAATAAATAATTAAAAAAAACAATAAAAAAATATTTGAGTAATTTTTGAAAGAAAAAAGAAAACCCCAAAGAATGCAGCAAAATCAACTTTATGTCATATCAAAAAGTGCAATTTGCACTTTCTGTTGGAAAGGTTTGGGAAAAAAGGGTCATTTATTTAAAAAAATGGCGTTTGAGTTTCTGAAAACGTGGGATTTTGAGCTAATTTTCACAGAAAATGTTGAGTTTTTGAGATACTTTATAGGACATTATTTAAAGTACATGTACACATAAATACAATAATTTGAACAAATCGACGCTAATGTGAATATTAACGACGTGAGAGGCTAGTAAAATAATTGTTGTAATTTTTGAAAAAAAGAAAGAAGAAAGCAATATGGCGTTTATGTCTTCTAATAGAGTGCATTTAGCACTATCCCTATCAAAATTTTGAAGAAAAAAATTGTAGCTGTATTTGAGAAAATCTTGTTTTTTCGCAGCATTACATAACTTTACCTATACTACGTAGTATGTTACTCCGTATATACGTATGTATAGGAGAAAGTAAAAATCAAACCGATTCTAGTTTTGATCGATGTGAAATGATCGGTCGTGGAAGATTACAAAGTCTCTCAGACAGTTCTTACAAAAGGCCACGAAGTGACATGAACGCACGTTAAAAGAAGCTTGATCCTCCGAAAGTGCGGTTCTAACACTCAAAACGTCACAGAAAAAGTTCAATAGTTTTTCGACTCGTTTTAAAAACTACTTGTCAGATCATTGAATCTAATAATAAAGGTACTGGAGGGAAAAGGGGGCAGAATTGTTTAGAAGTTCAAGCTGTTTTCATGCACAGAGACATATCTGTCGATTATATCCATGTGATCCAAAGAATTGCCGAGCACGGCCAGTTACTGGTCCGCCTCAAAACGAGGACAAGTTCCGGATTTGCATCCTTAAATTTAGCCCGAGAAGAAAAAACATGCGCCCTTCACTGGGAAGTTCGTAAGTAGTAAAACGTACGGGATATCCTACCAAATTAAGTTATTGTGTTTTTATAGAGTAATAATTCTGTTGTTGGAACCTTAGAAACTACATAGCATTTTATTTTAAAATCCAAAATTTGAAAACCAAAATGTCCAGGGGCTGCGAATTGCTCCCACGTAAGTCCTCAGACCCGGTCCGCGACTCACCGTTACCATCCAAAACAATGACGCGTTTCGTCTTGAGCGAAATGAACAGCGGCGGCACGAAGGGCCGGCTTCGACGGCGAGACAGCGACCGCCCGAGGCGGCCTCGCCAGCAGCCGCTGCCCCCGCAGCCCACGCACGACGTCAGACGGCCCGCCAGCATGGCCTTCAACGAGGGCGCCCTGCCGCCGTCACCACCAACACCACCGCCGCCGCAACCGTCCCCCGGCGACATGGCGCACACGCACTGCCTGCCTGCTCTCCCAACCCGCGCCGCAGACGAGAGTGCTTTGCAACGCAGTGCACTGCACCGAGGGCGCCCGCGATCGCCGCCTCCTCCTCCGCCTCCGCCGCCGCCGCCGCCGCCTCCGCCGTCTCCCCGCCCCTGGCCTCTCGGCCGGCGGCTCGGGGAGCGCGGTGCGCAGGGCCCGCACTCGGTGCGCTTCGGCGTAATATGCAACGCGACCGAACGTGCCTCGTCTGCAGCCGAGAGGCGCGACGCGCCCTGGAATGCGAGCCGAAACGGACGTATTGGCTTGCAAGCATCTCCTCGAGATTCACGTTACCAAATGTATTGTTCCGATTCCTATCGACAGCAGATTTGTTCCGGTTTAATAAGCTGGCTCTTTATAATTATACTATAAAGAAATTGCGTTTGTCTGTGTCGAGGCTCGTGACACCCGAGCTGATCCTCCGAGCAGGCAGGAACATGATCCAAATTATTCATAATGCCGATTGATCGTATTAAAGTGACACGTCTTATTTTCACCAGACTCGAGTATTTCAGATTGAAAACGCCTTCCCTCGATATCTATCACGCAGGCGGCTGGTCGTAAGGGGCCAACTAGGGTGGACCCACCAATAGGTATATAGTACGAGCAGTTATATCTTTATAGCAAGCTCTTTTACAGTGACAATGGCGGTTTACTTCTGGAATTGTTTATTCATAAAGAACGTCTGCACAGATTTCTCCACCTTATTCACGCCTCCCATAGAATCGATGAGCTTTTGGATATAATTACTTGCATGAGTGTCGAGACAAGGGAGGCAACTTGCTCTAGGCTCTGAATTTTGTACAAATTCCAAACACAAAATATAGTTACTTCTTCTTCAAATTACCCGCTGTAAGTTGTTTCTGTCGCATGTCAAAGTGAATTCTGTTTATGTATGGAGAGGGGAGAGTTAGAAATAGGGGTCCCTTGTGGATCTACTGACTCTGGCCTTTTCTCTGGGCACTCCTTGTTACTAGTCACACTTAAAGGGAACGTTTGTCCTTCCCTACGGGCCGCATCTTCTCGCTGTTGTCAAGGTCAGTGCGTTTCCCCTTCCGGACGGCAACTTTCCGCTCTTTATACTATACTTCGATTTAAACGTAGTGGCACTACAAGGAAACGAGCTGGACGGACAGAGGGACACTATCATCCAATTAGGAGCTCCGATACCAAGAAGTCGAAACGATGCTCCCGATGGGATGTCAAAGTTCCTCTGTCTTTCCCGCTCCTGACCTTGAAGCGCCACTTCATTTAATCCAGAGTATACATAACAGTCTTACCGGCGAAAGAGTAGATTTTGCGTGCCATTTGCCACGTCACTGTTTCTGCACGCTGTGAATAAAAAAGTAGATTCCCACGCATATTTAGTTTTCTGAAAAAAAAAAAAAAAAGTCTCGGCTCTTCGCTGACCTGGCTACTTTCCTCCTGGCACCGGCTGAATTTAGCTCTACATAGTCTGTGACTGTGAGGTTCCCGGGGTCGCATTTTCGATTTCAGCTGTGAAGTTAGGCCGATCTGAGCTTGGAGAATTCTGGCAGCCAACTCCTCTGATTTTGAGTATTCCGTGGATTCTTCTTTCAATACCAAGCGAATATAGAAACAAATAGGCTACGGACTGGACTTTCCTCCCACTTCCTTGTCCTCTCCTCTCCCCTTATACACACTTCGGAGATTGCAAAACCAGGTTATGCGATCTTACGTTTACAAACACTACACTGCCACACATCGGGAGAGCAGTCGAGAACTTGACCTGGGGGGGGGGGTGCCCCGCTGGGACGGGGGGAGATCTGAAAGGGAAATCTCCCCAACGCTGACGTATAGGTCGGCACTGTATCTCACCATCCAGCGAGGAAGGAATCACTGCCACATCACGGAGAACAACATTCAAACATTCAATACTCAAACTGGTTTAACGACTAGAATTGTTGACGTGCCGGAAACGTCAATCAATCAATCAATCAATCTTTGCGGCTTTCGACGCTTAGAATCGCTGCTGCCGGTCATCCCTGCCGCGGAAAGGGGCAGTCTGCTTCCGATGCTGCATTACGATGGGGTCTGATGTTTACCTCATGAAACAGCTCTGCATAAGAGGAGTTTTTCATTTGACAGGAGAAAATATGTATTCTGAACGAGTCCGTTTATGTGAAAATCAGTGTTTGAAAGGTTTGATGGTTAAGCAAGATATCTGGTCTGGAATACACGGTTCCAACCACAATCTGCCGTCCGAATTATTCAAGAGACGGGTCAAATTAAGTGTTTTAATGAGAATTTCATAACCGAAGCCTTTCAATCAGGGGCGTGTATTCCACAGCCTCAAGGTAAGCAATGCTTACTCAAGTAATTCGAGCAGAACTTCTCAGGCATTTACGATAGAGTATTTTACAAACTATTAAAAACCTAACATATTTCCATTGTCGCTTCCACGCAAAGAGAGTAATATTTTCTCTTACTACACCTCTGCCACCCCACCAACTCAAAGGTTGTCGCTCTCGATGATAAACTCTCGTATAACGGAACTCTACATTTCATTTGACCTTGAGGAATAAGTGTCATGTCTCAAGTTCTGATGTTCTTTGGCAAGGGTCCGCAACTTTAGGGACTGCAGACCCTTCCTTTCCGTTTGTGCGTGTTATTTCCGTGAATTTAGAATGAATTTTAATTAGTTATAACGCGGGGTTTTTTAAACATCTCTTTAGTATTTACAAGTTTGTCAAACTTCGTTCCAAATGATTTAATTGTATCCGTATCCAGAATTTTACTGATAGAAATATGAAAAGAAACTAACGAAAGAATTTTATTGCTATTATGCTTTATGAGGCAACCAATGAAAACAGTAACTTCAGTCATTTATAGTCTGTATTTCGCTTCGTTAACTGAGATGGTCAAATACGAGAGCGATTTTTAGGCTTCAGAGATATTTCAGAAGCACTTACACAGCTTATCACTTGCCCCATGTCTCAGCATTGTTGGCCGAAAACTGCATTTCGATATCGTGAATCGTTTAGAAGGTACGTGGGTGGTCCATAGTTGATGGGACACTATTTAAAGCAAAACTGCTAAAGAACTCAGAATAGTTTTCCAAATGTAGCATGCGCACTGCGCACCATCGAATTCCAAACAAAATACACTCGCATAACAACTGCAACAATTAAATATTTCAACAAAAACCGTCTTCAGGAATGCTGCAATAACAAAGTACAGTATAGTATCCGGTTGCCCAGTACAACAGTTCTTCACATACTAACAATAGGAACATCAAAAGAGGTGTTCCGAAACGCAACACATGACTAGCAAACACTTAAACCCATTTATTCCAGAGTGAAATTCACTGCGCGTCGCACCCAGTCACTGTTTCTCGCTCGTTGGCACAGAGCCATTGTCAAACACGATCCTTAATGCTCAATATGGCCCTTCGATAAAATATTTAATTTCTCTTCAATCACCCCAGCACAATTTGAGGGGAAAAAACATATTTCGATTTACACCCACATTATGTCCGTTATTACTAGACATAAGACATCAAAAAACGTACTCTTTACGCGCCTAAAAAGGCACTAAAAATTAAAAATAGAAGAAAGAGGAAAAGACAAATAAAATTCAATATTGTAAAAAAAATCACTAATATAATTATTTGCACTTTCATCTAAAATTACCAGAACATTTGTATTTAAAACAACATAACAAGGGAAAATTAATGAATATAACCTCATTAGGTGATAACCCAAACGTATTATTATTATTGTTATTATTATTATTATTATTATTATTATTATTATTATTATTTATCATATAAGGACAAAAATAAATGTCGGAAATTTCTTCATTAATATTAAGCACATACGAAAGAGACATAACGTTTCATTCTTTGAATTAACAGAGCCTTCCTTTCCTTACCTTACCCTCATGAAAGAATATGTGGCATAGTAAGATAACGTTGTCGGAAGTCGGGGTTATCGTCTTGCCCCTACAGACGCAAATGTAATGATTGCGTCGCGAATCTCAACCGAGCGCTCATTCAAGAATAACTGCTTTAGGTTTGTTTAATTTATTTCTTTATTTGTGCGAAGAGAGCTTTTAGGTTCCAAAAAATAAATGTTACATTCAAATTCGAATGGCATCTTCAGTCTATCCCCAAAAAATTTGTTACTGGTAGGCTGCTACTGTGTTTAGTAAAACCGAACACAATTTAAATGCAAACTCGTAGAAACCACCTAAACGTTAACGGTACGTGAGTGGGAAGAAAACAACAAAAGCGACACTCATTGTTCTTGCCACTTAAAAATATTCTCTTCGCTAACTATAATCCTTCACACGTATGCTTACGCAAGGCGACAAAACGTCGTAATGAGCAAGAAAGTTAAGCGTCCATTCTATTAACTCGATGTTCTATTAACATTTTGTAATTATGCAAAAATTCAGTTATTACGAGCACATAATAACACATCTAGCTCTGATATCTTTCATTTTAAGAAAGAAAGTAAGAAAAAAATTAAGGTAATTTGGGTGAATAGAAAACTCAAACTACTTTCTAAATAAATAATACCCCAAAATTTAACGATGGCACTACAAAGTGTAGGAAATTTTATTTTCTTTAAAATTGGGGGTATTTATGTATCACAATCATCTATTAAACAGCCCAGACCGTTTTGACCACTATGTCCACCCACAGTGTGCGCATTGCCGATTAATTTTGTTTGTAACTAACACTCTCCTCCCATCCACTATAGGAGTTCTAAGAGTGTCTTACCCCCACAGCCTTGTTCATTGTGCCAAGAGTGTTTACTAAGTTTTGTTGAAATAAAAATATTCCAGAGTTAAAGAGTGATGCGGGAATACGAACACATTATACACACATTCATCTATTTTACTTTCTTATGTACATACGTACGCAAGGTGTAATATACAAATGGTAGAAAAATATAAGTAATGCTTCGGAAAATCGATTTCGAGATGTCAAAGGAAATACACGTTTAGGATTTTTTGGATATATATATTGGATGATATGGATTTTTTTCCCTATCTTTCTTCAAAACGTCCATTGTCTGTGAACAACACTAGCGCCTAAACTAGTCGTAGGATTTTTTCCAATCCTCAGTTCATCTGGACTGAGTTTAGGGGTACTTTATATAAAGATGGCCTTGGTCCAATTTTCAATGAATTTTCGAAAATTACCTAAGTCTGGTGTTTTTCTCGTCTTCCTACAACTACAATATTGGAGATAGACATTTTTTCTCTTCAAATTAAATTAGTTCGCATCAATTGGTTCTTTCATCGACGTCATGTACATTACAAAATAGTAATTTTCGGTAAAATATACGCAAAATTAAAAAAAATAAAAACAAGATTTTCCCAAAACACGGCACCGATTTTTTATATACATTTTGTAGGAGTGCTATATACACTGCAACAGAAGACATAAACGTCATTTTGCTATATTATTTTGTTATTGTTTTTTTAAATAAATACATTTTTTTATCTCTCACACGTCGTTAATATTTACATTACCGTCGACCGTTGTACACATTATTGCATACATATGCATATTGAGTACATATGCTTCAAATGATGCCCAATGAAGTTTCTGGAAAACAAAACGTTTTCTGTAAAAATGAGCCTGAAATCCCATTTTCTGAAACGTTCAAACGCCATTTTCTCAAAAGCGGCTCCATTTTTTTCAAAGTTGAATTTCAAAGATGTTCGTGTGCCGCTTTGCGTCGTACGACGCGCTTTACTTAAAGCGCGCCAACGTATCGCTCGTGTGCAGGGGCCCTAAGATTTTCGGCAGTGTGTACGAAATATAATGAAGGAATGTTTACATTGACGGGCAGACAACTTATTGCTTGAACTTGTGGGAAGAATACAGGCATAATACTATGGGAATAAGCATTTGTCTGCGCACATAGACGCGCGTTGATGATTTTATGCGTTAATGTTGACTCAAGCGCCCCTGAATAGAAGCTCTACGCAACACGCCGCACCCTCAAGTATTAGGTGCGTATTCTGTCCTTGCAATTGTAAAATATCGGCCGGAATTATTACTTGACATTAATTTGGACACGTAAATTAAATATCTTCCACAGTGTCACAGCAAAGGCATCCCCAAACTTGAGGGAAAACGATTTAACAATAGAGTACTCGACATCTATGTCCAAACAAGAACAAGAATTAACCCATACCCGTTCAAAGTATTCCATCAATTAAATTTTTTTGTGGGGCGCGGTGTAAAATGTGATTGACAATCACGTGACCAGTAGCGTGTGAACTGTAAAATATTTGCAATAGCGAGTTATCGTAATTCAATTAATGTACGTTTGTACACATTTTGGTGAATCGAAAAAATAGCGTATTTTTAAAGAAAAGCGGCAGCTTGTTTTATATTTGGTTTTAGAAATAAATGTTTCATAGACAAGTTGTAAAATATTTCATTTTCTTTAAAATTGATTTAAATGATTTTCTACCAGGTTTAAGCTTACAGAATAATCGACATAAAAAATGAAAATAAAGTCCGGTTTTCCGTCGTCTCGGAGTTAGCCCATGGTCTGTGGGGTGGGGGATTTTAACTAGTACAGGGGTGCATTCAAAACACCCGAAGAAGGGGTTATTATGAACTTTTTCCAGATAATGCCCATTTTTCAGAACTTGTCGACTGAACTGCATGACATTTTTATAGAAATACTGGGAACGAAAGTTTTATTTTTAATATTTTAAAACAACTTGTTAATATTACAAGGGAGGAAATATTTTGTCAAAAACGCTCTTAGCGACATTTACTTAGAATTGAACTTCGTGTAACAAACGAGCAGGGTAGGGATTGCGGAACTCAAAAAAACGAGCACAGATTGTACTTCTTCTCCATAAGACACATGAGGGTTTTATAGAGTTATATAATATATATTATTTATTTTTTCCGCAATTGGCGTCTTTGCCAGGTGGTAGCCAATTAATTACACGAAGTTACTCTGAGAAGGAACCACTTTGACAGGACGGTAAGCGAATTAACATCACGCAGAGCGGTGACATTGCAAGAGATGAAAATGAAGCCATTTACAAATGAGCTAACTGTAAATGGATGCACTGACAAAATGACTGCATGGAGATAACTTGCAGGTATGTTGCCAGCGGTGGCTAAGCAGTAGCTGCCAAAGCGGTCCCTTCTTACAGTAACCCCTCTACAACAGTTTTTGTTGTAGAGTAAGTTGAATACAAAAGTTGTAGGATTGTGTGCGAAACCGTCCCCCGCAGAGGCACGGTCCGCGCGCTCACCGAGGTGGTTGCACAGCTGCTCGTGGCCCTCGAGGTCCGGGTAGTCGAAGGTGTCCTTGCAGAAGAGCACGCGCGTGTTGCGGCAGGGCGCCGCGAAGCCACCCAGCGCCAGCACCAGCGCGTTGTGCAGCCACTTGTTGGACACGCCCTCCAGCCGCTTCATGATGCCGCGGAAGCGGCAGTAACGCGCGAAGCTCAGCACCACCACGCCGCTCTCCTCCGGGTCGGGCTCCCCTGCGCACGCCGCCGCCGCCGCGCCACGGTCAACTCCGGCCGCGAACGCCATTTCACAACCGCCGGCCATTTTGAAGTGCGTAATTTTAATCAAAACATTCCGATTCCACCACACGAGAAACACTTTTAATCGATTTTTCACGCAATTTTACTGCTTATTTCTAAACGATTTCAGCCATTTTTAAACCGCCATTTTGAATTTTGTGATTTTAATGACATATTCGGATCCAGTGACTCGACAAACCCTTATATACATAGTTGTAAACAATTTATATCTACATTTGTATACAATTCCAATGATTTTTCGAAATTTTGGCCAGCTTTTTCAAGATTCCCACCACCGTGCGACATCATATTGGTACCACAACAGCATAGTTAGTAAGCTTTTCTATTATGACTATGTGGTTACCAAAAAGAGAATATTAATTATTCAAAAGAAGAATGAGAATTCAACGAGGATACACGCACGTATATATGACAACTTCACTATATTATAGTATTAAAGACCACTATTTAGCAACTGTTATTGAATAACGTTACTTTATGTATTATCACATTTCAATATATTTGGTTATTAGAATTCATTTTAATCATGTGGCAGTTGATAAAAACTATTGACCATATATAAAAACATAATAAGGCCATTCATGTTGTAGGTCTGCCCAAAATGGACAAACGAAGCCCCTACAAATACTAATTAAATCCAGAACATTCAACATTCAGTTTAATCACAAATGCCCCCGCTTCGTAAGTAACAAATTAATCCATTCTAAATTAAACATTAACACAATAATGAACCGAATAGCCCATATATCACATATCTATCAGAAACTGACAGATATACCATTTTACCCAATTTGGGTCCCGCCGAAGAAACGTAGGTAGGAAACTAGTAATGAGGATATACTATAAAATTATCGGATACCACGAATTTTCATAACACGAACACCGATTATTTCAGTGCCTTGGAATCCGTGTTATCGAGGGTTAACTGTAAAATGAATTGCTAATACTATATTGAGCGGAGTTTGCAATGGTGAGTTTAACTTGAAGCAAGGAGAAATGTCCTAATTAGAGAATTACAACCTTATTGATATAATCTTATTGAGAATCATTAACAATTAGAGCAATGTGGAATGTTTAATTAAATGAACTTCCTTATTTAAAGTATCAGTAATTTTAAAACGATGAACACTTTTCTCCGATTTAAATTTATCAGTTCCTGGGAAGTTAGAACAGGGGGCACCGCTATCAAGTCGGGAGATCCAATTTTTGAAATCAATTCTTCAATTTTTGAGATTGAAGTCTCCCTCTCCTAACTCACCAGGGCTTAATAAGTTTGTGGTCGGGGTAAAAGTTCTTAAGTCACTTTTTGACTAAATTAGGTTAAGTACTGTAACTACAAGAATACATTTTTCTCTATATTTTATTTGATAAAAACGACAGAATTCATATGTTGCCTCGTTAACAGCAAAAAAGCGCTGGGAAATATAGCTTCATACCACTCATCAATAACGGCTCATTAATCTAACCCTAGTTTTCTTCAAAGTAACATTTTTGACTTTTGAACTTTTATCCCGTGACCACAGGAGTTTTATAGTGGCGCCATACGACAAAAAAGCACTGGGAAATATAGCTACGCTAGCTAGCTAATAATCATTCATTGTTTTCTACAAACATTTTTGACTCACGAACTTTTACCCCGTGACCACAGAAATTTTGTAGTGGCATCTTACAAGAAAAAAGCGCTGGGAAATATAGCTTCGCAGCACTCATCAACAACGGCTCATTCATCTAACCCTTGCTTTCTCCAAACTAACATTTTTGACTTACAAACCTTTACCCCGCGACCACGGCTTCGAAGCACTCATCAATAACATTTCATTGATGTAACCCTTGGTTTCTCCAAACTAACATTTTTGACTTATAAACCTTTACCCCGCGACCACGGCTTCGAAGCACTCATCAATAACAGCTCATTGATCTAACCCGTGGTTTCTCCAAACTGACATTTTTGACTTATAAACCTTTACCCCGCTACCACAGCTTCGAAGCACTCATCAATAACGGCTCATTGATTTAATCCTTGTGTTCTCCAAAGTAACATTTTTGACTTACAAACCTTTAACCCGCGACCACGGCTTCGAAGCACTCATCAATAACATTTCATTGATCTAACCCTTGGTTTCTTCAAACTAACATTTTTGACTTATAAACCTTTACCCCGCGACCACGGCTTCGAAGCACTCATCAATAACGGCTCATTGATCTAACCCTTGTTTTCTCAACTAACATTTTTGACTTACGAAACTTTACCCCGTGAGCACAGAAATTTGTAGTGCGCCTTACGACAAAAAAGCGCTGGAAAATATAGCTTCATACCACTTATCAATAACGGCTCATTGATCTAATCCTTGTTTTCACCAAACTAACATTTTTGACTCACAATTCTTTACTCCGCGACCACAGCGTCGAAGCACTCATCAATAGCAGCTCATTGATCTAAACCCGTGTTGTTCTCCAAACTAACATTTTGACTTACAAACCTTTACCCCGCTACCACAGCTTCGAAGGCAACTCATCAATAACGGCTCATTGACTAACCCTTGGTTTCTCAACTAACATTTTAGACTTACAACCCTTTACCCCGCGACCACAGCTTCGAAGCACTCATCAATAACGGCTCATTGATTGATCTACCTTTATTTCTGAATTAACGCGACCACAGAAATGTCGGCTACCGAGCAGGCTCTTCTCCTTTGAGCACGTCCTGCAGGTCGAGCGCGGAGTCGACGAGCAGCGAGGAGACGAGTGCGCGCTCGGCCAGCGCGGGGCCCGGGCACTCGCGCTCCCACACGGCCGGCAGCCCGCGCGGCCAGCGCACCTCGTCCGTGATCCAGCCCAGCAGGTCGTCTGCGCGCAGCACCACCTTCTCGAGATGGCCAGCACCTCGTCCTGCAACACACACATACAACGCAATGCATCGTGTTCCACGAGGTGTTCACTCTCCGCGCCAATCGATGGTCAGATTCGGCGAACGACCTATTGTCCGAATCAGGGGCGATCCGGAGGTGAATTTGGGGAGGCGGAAAAATCCAAAATGTTTTCGTCCAATATGTCAGATACAGATTTTGTTAAATGCGCAAGCTACACTCAGATCATGCAGGATACGATTATATTCGTTTTAAAGAAAAAATCCGAAATTTTTGTTTGAAAAGTCTTGTACAAGTTCAAATTAAAGTTAACTGAAAAAAAATAAGGGGGGGGGGGAATTTTCCACATTTCCCTCCCCGTGGATCCGCGCCTGTCCGAATAATATTTCCATCTAATTGACAGCTGGGGTGGGGTAGAACGATGTTGCCACGTACTAGGCGGTAGATCGTGTTTTGTGGTCGTTCTTGCATCAGAAACACAGCATAGCAAGAATCAAATCGCAATAAGAGCACAGGTTAATAACGTTGAAAACACAGAACCGCACACACGACGCATAACCAAAAAGTAATGGCGTTCATAAACTCGCGCTATGAGATTTCGGATTTCGGCAACTCGGGCAGTGACATCATCACAAGTTGAACCCCTGTTTGGATAACGGAATCCTTCACTCCTGTGAGCGCGAGCTGTCAAGTAGAACAATTACTCGAAGTATAAGTAGAGTTTTTTAGCAGGTATAAGCTACTGTGACGTAGTGAAATAAGAAATAAATTTCAATAACAAAAGAAAAATAATATATTCAAAGATTATGTACAAGTTACAAAGAATTGCTAATATTAAAACACTCCGCAACCTTTTCCTTTCAGAACACTGCTTTTACCGCAGAAAACACAAGCCACGCGTGATGCGCGGTGTCGGACACCCGTCCCGTGACAAATACGCGTCACATGCTGACGCCAAAATTTAACCCGGTGGCGACCGTGTGCCTACAGCACGCGAGATTGTCTGGCCCTTACTTTCCGGACATCTCGCCCAACCTCCTACACCCCTTGTACACACGACAAGGCTTCCCGATGCAAACTGAATGAGAACGCGGCGCAGATGGCGCCCGCGTTAAATAGTTGAGGCTGACACCCCCACCACTGTTCCTAGATAGGACTCGCAGGCCAGCCTTGGTTTACGCCCCCACACAGAATTCTCAGGTTGGCTGCCTGCTTCCGTAAACGAGGCTCGCCGGCAGCATCCTCGGAGTACAGCCTCCGTATTTTGGCTTGCCGGCACTACCTGAGTCAACCGCCCGAGCGCAAACCCCCGATGTTCAGGCTCAACCCCTTCCTCCCCCGCAGCGTACTTTCACCAACCTAACGGTTCTGGCCCTCGTGTTAACGACGCCACAGTACACCAATCAACAGCATTATTGATCTACGTATGCGCAAAAATATGCAAAACGCAAATCTGGCCTGCGCAGAAAATCGATAGTGCTATTAACGCATCGCCGGGCAAAACTTCCTAATGTCGTCTTGCGGGGTTTCTCACTCCAGGCAGGATAGCACTTACCAAAGGAAGGAAAAATTGGCCGTAGGCTTTCGTTAAGGTGCTGCTCCGGCATTTGCCTGGTATTAATTGGAGAAACCTAGGGAAACTTAATGACGAGAGCAGTCAGCCGCTAGAATTATCCTCAAGACAGAGGTTGAATTCGACCTAGCTTGTATGAAGAAAACGTCGAAAATCCACACCTTTGAGACTCGTATCCTAAGACCTTCCAATGACATCCGACCCCGCCCTACACTTCGGCTTGCTGGCGAGTCCCCTCCACGTATCGTCCCCCAGTGCGGTACCGCCCCAGCAGGGATATGCTCTGAGATACCAAAAATGAAAGGTACAGTAGTGCAAGAGTAAGTGTGCTTGGGTTAGCATAGGGCAAGGAAGAAGAAGGAAAGATCGCGCGTGGTCCATAGCCCGTCTTTTAAGGTACCGCTTCAGCTTTCTCCTGAATAATGACGTAGCACCTGCGACAATCACCCACATTTTCGATTAGTAAAATAAAGTACATAGCAATATAACAATGTGTATTAATTTTATTTATGTTAAGTATTAAAATTAATTATAATGAAAGTCTGAATTAGTTGACGACGCGAGTGAACAAAGGACGTATAGGCAAGAAAATTTCAGTAGAATCCGATGATCAGAAAATTATGGCTAACGTTGTGGAACTCGAAACTATACACCTTGCCTCACAGTAATCTTACACTTAGTGAAACTTCACTCCAGTAATCAGATTACTGTTCATCACAAATATCTGCTATTCCTCGCCATCATAATGTTACCACCTATCCTATCCACCTCATGCTGACTAAATGCGCATTTCATCCGGTTGAAGTCCAAAGTGTCCTTCGGACCTCATTTATACACTTTGGAAAATCGTATATTAATTGGCGAATTATCCAGTTCTGACATCAGCCGTCTACATACTATTATACTATATATTCAATATCGATACTACACCATCAATATTAACTATATTTCTATCGCGGCCGATGACATTAGGCCATTGTTACACCTCCTGGCTGTATATAGAGTCGTGTGAAAGTGCTTATGTCGAGTGTAAATAGTACCCAGTGTGAATGTGTGAGTGAACGTAAAAACAAAAATCAAGGAAACTTAATAGACAATACAAAGCCATTAAATAAAGTACGAATAAAAGTTAGTGTAAATCTTAGGTTGCCGGCCAAAGCGCCGGCTTCATCCATAGGTTAAGTTAGAAATAAGTTAGTAAGCCCTGCCCCCTTCTTTGCCGCATAAGCCAAAGATCTGCGGCGCATGTACCCCCAACATGTCAATAAACTCCCGCCTCGCCAGGGCTACTGGTGGGAGAAAAATTGGAAAAAAAATTCGTACCTCACAAAATGGATATTTTTAATTAATTCGCCCTTTCCAACGTGGCTTCTGGCCTCAGAAATGTGCTTACCACTGTTAAAAAGATTATTTTTATACAGCAGGATATGTAGTAATGACCGAATGTCACCGGCCACTTCATAAAAATCGAAGTATAATCAAAGTCCATAGTGCTGTGTTCGAAATAACGCGCGTAATTCTTTTTAATTATGAACTGTTAAGAAAATATTAGCCGTTACTGGGGCACATCTACAGTTTAGAGGGAAAACTCGTGATTTCATAAAATCCCATCGTAAGCGCGGGCCTGCCCAGTGAAGTCCGCCGTCGACCGCGGAGCTCCCACTGTCGCCGATCGGACATGGCCGCGTGGGCGGAGGGCGGGAGCGACCGCAAGCCGTCGCCTGCAGGAAGCGAGCGCCAGGGTCACGCGGGTGTGCGCGCTCTTGTTTCGTCTGCACAAAGACGCGCACCCCCCCCCCGAGCCGGCCAGCGGCGGCCGGATGGCATTCCATTAAAGAGCCCCATCCACCTGCAAGCGAGCCCCGCAAGCCTGACTTCTGCCGGTAGGAACTGTCTCCCTCCGTGTCCCCGGCTGTTCCTACAGTGGAATGTGAATGCAATGCGGCACAGACCTTCCACAAATCACACTGCAAATCTGGTTTAAGGGCGTCCCATTATGTGGCGATCGCGCTTGGACAGGGGTAAGAAGCAATGACAGTTTCAGGGAAGCACTGTGGGCAAGTCCCCATGTGGAGGATCAAAAATATATCATAAAACAATAATTTAGCAGGTTTAACAAGAAATATTTATTAATTGGTTTCAATACTATTAACAATTAAGTTTTGTTTTAATATCAGGAATCTACATTATTTAGCCCTTGATTATTTTGGGAATCGAAATCTGAAACGAAAATGGTTAAATGAATAAATTGACAAAAGTCAGTGCCAAGACACTAAACTGCAACCTCCAAATGAACCAATAAATTTAATCAATTGATTGGCGAATTAATTTTCTATGATGACTAATAATTAAAAAAAATATTGTTGATTTTTAAAGATTTTTGGAAGTAAAAACACAGATTATTATATGAAATTATACATAATTAACCCCGATGGAGTGGCAAGCCGTAAATAATATTTCAAAAACCAATTTCAGTTTCTGAGAACGGCATATACATTTTCAACTGTTTCAACATGGTAAGCGATCCAGTGGCCGTATATTAGTATGATGCCCATATTTACTTTTATTTTTATTTACGTTCCCCCTACCGCTTACGCAGTAGAGACAAGTTATGTAATACCACGCGAAAAAATGGCGAATTTTCGGCAGAAAATCTCTTATTGTAAGGCCCTCGTAACGAAAAAGTGGATAAATTCAGTTGCTAAATCTAGAAAAAAAATCGCATGGTGTAGCTAGAATCTATGTTTTGTGTGTTCTTGAGATCAAAACAATCGATTGACGGCAAAACGTCCGTCCGGTATATGTGAAAAACATTAGCAGCTAAACCATGAGTAAGATTTTTCCCACATTGAAGAAACCCCTGATAATTTGGCCTGAGTCAAAGCTCTGTGATTTTGAAAAACATTCATTAATTTTTGGGGGTACTTTACATGAAAAACCTGGGTCATTTTCAATTGTTTTTTTAATTTTTTTCTTTTTTTTTATTTCCCGGAAGAATACAGTACAATACACTTATAAAGTGGCATAGGTCCGATGTTTACTGTTAACATTGAATTGTCGATAATTGGAAAAGTTTGATTTTTTTCGGCGACTTCCTGCAACAACAAAATTAATGACAGCCGGACTGGATGGTTGAGATCGTTCAGGCAGTTGTGCCATAACAATCTCGGACCGAAGGACTGCGGGCTCGAGTCCCGCCTCAGGTATGGTTGTATTTGTGTTCGTCTTTTCACTTTCTATCATCACCATATCATGTCATCTTCACAGTTATCATACCGTTAAATACAATAGTGGTCGCTAATGACCTACCTAGATGTTGATGCGACCTTAAATAACAAAAATTGAAGCTAGAGAACGAACTTTTATGGGTCACTCTCAAGCGAGCCTTCATTTGAATTCCTTCAATTAGTCGTCGATAGTTTTTTTCATTACTGTCATGTACAACTTTT